TTACACAGCTCGAATACAAATTTGCGTCAAATATTGAATAGGGTGAATATTATACATTATCTAATGACTTTCCCCGAAGAAAATTTCCTGCTATTGGTTGCATTTTCCACATGCTGATTTGAACATATATTATACATATTGAGTGTCAGTTTTTAATGTGTGATTGTTGATGGAGTTTTCATGTTCGTTATTTCTGCTCATATCGGTTGTTTCTACTACTCACCCATTCATTCCTCTGACGCCTCTCTCTGAATATGACATCCTCCTCCTTGCCTAGCTCTGAATGCAAACCAAATTACGTTAGAAACTGTTATATGTACAGCTTATTGGACCATGCTATAATAACATGGATCAAATTAATTTAAGGGTATGTATGCTTCTCACCTGTGAGTATCATCTGTAACATGTGTAAATTCACAATTCCATTGTCTGTAAGGTAGCGCTATGGAAAAAAATACATATGTATGAATAGATACAAAGTTTATTATAATATGTAACTATATTTGCATTTACTAATGTATTTAGCAATAATTGGTGTTTATTTTATGATGTATGCCGACACGTTTTAGCTCTAATGTATAACCAGTCTCATAATGTAATATATTCACATAATCAATAAAGAAAACAAAACAGACTTTTCAATGAAAATAATAAAATACAAAATTCTAAATTGTCTGACAAACCATTTCAATCGAGTTCCCTGGGTTGAACCCTAACTCCGAAAAATCCTACTCAATCTTGAGTTGTATAAACTGAATCTCAACAAAGCGAAATTCAACTGGTCCCATATGTTATGCATATTAATATTACCTGGTTTACCTCCGTATCTATGTTCACTCCCTGCATTTGAGTCACCTTAAAAGTTATGGTAAAATACGTAATTAGTTAGCATAATATATATATTCAATAAGACCTAGATCTATAGACTTAATTCTGCATGTCATGAGGTGAGTCACATAACGTGTATTGTATTATTTGTTTTAGATATAGCCGAGAGGTTGACGCTATAAAATATAATTATTATTTTTAATATATATGAGATATGTCATGTACATGTTTATGCCATGCTAGATGGAATTAATGGGCACTTAATACAGTGAACTATGCATGTACATGTTTATGCCATTCTAGATAGAATTAATGGGCACTTAATACAGTGAACTATGCATGTACATGTTTATGCCATGCTAGATGGAATTAATGGGCACTTAATACAGTGAACTATGCATGTACATGTTTATGCCATTCTAGATAGAATTAATGGGCACTTAATACAGTGAACTATGCATGTACATGTTTATGCCATGCTAGATAGAATTAATGGGCACTTAATACAGTGAACTATGCATGTACATGTTTATGACATGCTATATAGAATTAATGATCACTTAATACACGGAACTATACATGTACATGTTTATGCCATGCTAGATGGAATTAATGATCACTTAATACAGTGAACTATGCATGTACATGTTTATGCCATGCTAGATAGAATTAATGGGCACTTAATACACGGAACTATGCATGTACATGTTTATGCTATGCTAGATAGATTTAATGAGCACTTAATACAGTGAACTATGCATGTAGATGTTTATGCCATGCTAGATAGAATTAATGAGCATTTAATACAGTGAACTATGCATGTAGATGTTTATGCCATGCTAGATAGAATTAATGAGCATTTAATACAGTGAACTATGCATGTACATGTTTATGCCATGCTAGATAGAATTAATGAGCACTTAATACAGTGAACTATGCATGTACATGTTTGTGCCATGCTAGATAGAATTAATGAGCATTTAATACAGTGAACTATGCATGTACATGTTTATGCCATGCTAGATAGAATTAATGAGCATTTAATACAGTGAACTATGCATGTACATGTTTATGCTGTGCTAGATAGAATTGATGAGCATTTAATACAGTGAACTATGCGTGTACATGTTTATGCTATGCTAGAAGGAATTAATGAGCACTAAATACAGTGAACTATGCATGTACATGTTTATGCCATGCTAGATAGAATTAATGAGCGCTTAATACAGTGAACTATGCATGTACATGTTTATGCCATGCTAGATAGAATTAATGAGCATTTAATACAGTGAACTATGCATGTACATGTTTATGCCATGCTAGATAGAATTAATGAGCATTTAATACAGTGAACTATGCATGTACATGTTTATGCCATGCTAGATAGAATTGATGAGCATTTAATACAGTGAACTATGCATGTACATGTTTGTGCCATGCTAGATAGAATTAATGGGCACTTAATACAGTGAACTATGCATGTACATGTTTATGCCATGCTAGATAGAATTAATGAGCATTTAATACAGTGAACTATGCATGTACATGTTTATGCCATGCTAGATATGATTAATGGGCACTTAATACAGTGAAATATGCATGTACATGTTTATGCCATGCTAGATGTAATTAATGAGCACTTAATACATGGAACTAAGCAGGTGATGTATTGTTGAAAACAGGTATTCTTACCATGGTGTGGGTAACAGCTGTCTTGTATATACCCACCAGCCTATGAAGTGCATTCTCTCTGAAATAAAGTCATTAATTTAATAATATGAGAATACATTGGTATTGTATTGTATATATATAGGCATATTAATGACATACGTCATAATGGATAAATACTATATATGTATAATGGAAATAGCATACCGGACATTCAGAGAAGGCAATTTTGGCAAAAAGTCATTGCCAAGGAGGGAACATAAAAACACCCAGTCATCAATAGCTCTCTGTAGAATACAAGAACAAGAGTAAGCTGGAAATAAAAATGATTATTTGAAACCATGAAAAATTATGCTTAATTAGGTATTAACAGTTATACCAAAATTGTATCGCATGACTCGGTGGTACAGTCAATGTATTGCCATTACTCATGCAATGTGAAGTATTTTGACAAATACATCAGTAAGATTCACTGTCTACAATATTGACAGCAATTACACGTACTCTAACACTGAATTACATGAAAGTCATATTGGCGATAATAAGGAACAATATAAAACTGTTGTTTTCACACGATCATGAATCAGATTATAGTAAACAGATTTCATCTTCTCTAGCATAGACATAACATGTCAGTACAATAATAATGTCAAACATGAAGGTCAAGGCAGGGTACAGTTTACAAATATAGCTGACTAACTTAATAAACATATTTAAGATGTAGATTGTTCTGCTATTGAGATTACTTTTGTTAATATTGTTTTTTCCATGTCCCAGGCCATCCATGCACATATCTTCCTCAAGACACTATAATTAGTTGCAAATTATACTCACGTTAATATTGTTTTTTCCATGTCCCAGGCCATCCATGCACATATCTTCCTCAAGACACTATAATTAGTTGCAAATTAGAGGGGCAAAATACAAAAAAGTATGCGGTGTAACAATAAGCATCCGGCAATATTAACATACATATACGGTAGTTACTGCAATAATAACGACATTAATTCCCAGAACATTAATTCCCAGGGCACTTGGCTGGTATGGGTAAGACACTTGAATGTTCTGCAAAATCAAAAAAAAACTTTTAACTATTTTTTTAGAATAAAATATAACTCCAACTTTTTAATAAAATGCAAACATTCGGTAAAATCAACACGCCCTTTCTTTTAGAGAGAACAGTTACTTTATTTTTGAACTAAGCTAAAATTCAATCAAGGAAGTTGCGCATGTTATTCGTTCAAACAACTCTATCCATTTGTGTGTGAACAAGGCTTATCATTGCTAAAACACTTTCGCGTTTTAAAAAGTAGCCTTTGCGGTTTTCACGGACATTTGAACTTCAAAAGTTATACCCTTTCAGTATGAAGTTACCTATTCCTTGAATAGGCAAATGCTGCGGGCGTTGATTTATGACAATCAATGTTTCTCATTGTTTATATAGCACATCAGAAAGTTCTTGATCAACCTGGAAACAAATGTTATCAGCTATTACTTCATTATAATAACCTTCGTGTATTAAATACATATATTCTTAGTGTAATAATGCATGTGTATAGACGAAACATATCAACACTCCCGATAAATTAATCTCAGGAAAGACAAATTGAAATACAACATGGGATTCGTCTCGCCACTTTAGGTAGTCGCACTACCTGGTGCGTCACACTGACTGTCCTATAGGAGTAACCCGAAATGGCAATTAATGAATACACACTCTCACTGTGACTGGATGTTTATGCTCATGTCGAAACTTGGGCACTACAAACTACATGTACGCCCCCACATATTAAACCATGTATTCACAGTATGAACCAACTCAAATGAACTCGAGGATAATTCTGTCCATCAGAATTACAGGCGAATTGTCATCTTAATTACAATACGTAATGAGGGATTTGATAACGCCACTGCATGGGTTATATTCATTTTGTCATGTTTATTAAGGATGGTTAAAGCTAAACCATTTTTGCCACTGACAAAATTTCTGATACTCCTATTTATTTGATGAAACACTTTGCTCTGCAAAATATCAAGAATTGTAGTGTGTTTAAGTATTGTTACTAAATTTCAGCCAAGTTTACCATTTTTTCATGAGAGTATTATGAGTGACCCTTACTTACTTGTTGACTTTTAGACTAATTGACAACTTTTAAAACAGGTCATCATAATTATTGATATGATTATACAGTAATTCAATGTGTTTGTGATTTTCTTATAAATAACATGGCGTATTTGTATTTGTATTAGTTAAATATATGTATGTATTATGATATTGCACAAAGTTAACTTACCTCACGTGCATGTCTCGGTGCTATTCTACAATCTCTCACTGTATGCCCTGCAATAACACAATATTCACACGATTACTATATCTCATCTTATAAAACGAAATAATGTCGCAACAAGCATGGTCGCATGTGACATTGTTCTACCCATGCCCACGCCTTCTCATAACCGAAAATTTTCTCTAGAACAGACTGGGGTTGTTTTTCCCACAAATAAAGAGGCAAAACCGCGTCATTGTGTCTGAAGCGAGTTTATTGCTCTGATCATCAGCGCAGTGTCTGTCTACACAAAAAATAGTGAAGTAAAATATGCGCGATGTGGCCAGGCAACCGCCACGATAGGGTTGCAGCAATCGTCTAAACCTAATTCCTGTTACAATATAGTTAACGAGTATAGAATCTGTTTTACTGGTAATAATTATCTCTTCAATTTAAGCAAATTTCTTCGGCTCTTTTACCAAAATCTACGTGGTTAATAAATATCCGTAAAGCTTCTCACACAAGTTAGTCCCATATTTGTGACACACGAAAGCATACAATAATCTGTCCTGTGGATATATTTAGTATTTGCATCGCGAATAAATATAAAGCTTGTATTGAAAATTTATTTTCAAAATATCATTCTAACTCAATTTAGGTTTACCCTTTTTCTTGCACCAATCACAGCACGGTATTTCTTCTTTGATGATTGAGAAATTTGGTTCATGGGTTGCCAGACCTATTATGGTTGAAAATACATTTCACATATACACGTATAAAACAATAATACATTTACTCATTCATTGTTATAATTGTTCTAAAAATATGACGAAATCTAATCCTAATGAATCGGTAAATACAAGCTCTTATTTCTCTGGAGAAATATTACATTATTTGCATGAGAAAATTGTGTACTCACCCAAAATAATGAGATCCGCTAACAGGAACAACAAGAGAATTTTATTATGGGAATATGATGTATATATTAATCATGACAATACGAACATTGCTCAAACATTATTACATCCCTTGCTTGAGTGGAATAGCAAAGTAACTACCAAGTCATGCAATTCAATAGTCGTGCAATAGGGTGCAAAATTGAAACTAGTCAACAATTATGAATCAGAACATGACTGATGTATAACTTATGTTTAAAGGTTGATTTAATCCTGTTTCAGAATAGTGAAAATGCTTGATTTTGAATCTTATTTAAAAAAAACACCAAGATGCCATTATGGCCGAAATCCTGTTCCGGAATTGCGGAAATACTTGATTTTTTATGATTTGAAATATATGACATTTGGCTATCTTTATTAGAAGTCATCATAAATGAGAAACCGTATAGTAATAATGAATAAAGAGTCATATCAGATATACATTTGAGAGCACACTGTCAGCGTTACTTACCGTCGTTGCCATGGATACAATGTCGTGTATTAATGTCATGTGTAGGTGTTGCTGTTGTAGAAAGAAATAAGAATTTGAGATATTACACAACATGAAATCAACTACTTAACGATACATTTTGTGAGCCTGGATGAGCGATTAATTTCCATCAAAAACCCTGACACTGATAATACCTCTCTGGCTTCGGATTATTTCCATAATCTTATGCTCGCCTTCACCTGGAACACTGGCATCTGACAAGATTACCTGTAAAAAGAAACGAAAATGAAAATTGAAATAACAATGTTCTTTGAAAATCCCAAGTGGTTCGTATGTTCAGCATATTGATTAGAGTAGAATAAATAGATGACGTCATACATTGAACATACCTTGATACCAACCCATCTAGGTTGAGTTCGGATTCTGTCAGCAATGTACGCACGTAGGTGAACATGAAGTCTAGACATGAAATCTGTGCCCTATAAATGCATACAGCAAACGTATCACTTCGATACTGTTGATATTTGGGATACATGAACACAACTAATATTATAATAAAACTACAACAATTAAAAATAATAATAACTTCAGATTCATCAACAACCAGAATATGAATTAAATAGGAACGTTTAGCGTGTTAGAAAAATCAAGTAGAACAGCTTACTGGACAAAGAGAATTATAGTCAAATCCGAATTCATCTGCCGATCTTCTTTCTATTCCAGCTTCTGCTTCCCTGCATGATACAAACAAGCCATACATCAATTGTCACATGTATTTGATGAACATTGTCCCTTTGCTTAAGAACACCTTGAACTAGAACTTTCATATGTTATATTTAAAGAATCTGTGCAATAGTACAGTACATATGATATACATGTATAAAGAAATCTTAGTTGGGAACTTAATATAATTTCACTAAA